AAATAAAATAAAATAAAATACATTTAAATTCGAATCAAAATTGAAATGTTTTATATTATTTTTTTGATAAAAAATGTTTGCCGCTCAAGTGTCAACAACATGTTTCAGGCGACAGCAATTTGCATGCAAGTCAGCGTCCAAATTGTAAAGTTGAACGTAAAAATATGTAAAAAATTATTTTATTTTTCTTATCGATTCTTTTAAAAAATAGTTCACTTTAAGCCTAAATATTATTTATTAAATTTTTTAAAAATTCTGGAGTTAAATTTTTTTTATTAAGTATATCGATTTCAATTGCGTTTGTGAAAAATTGTGAATCCTTCAGCAATTTGATGTGTTGCTGACATCTGAATAATTAAAATTAAAATATTCGCATACCTGAGCATACAAAATGGCAATCACTTTCACTTTATTGACTTTAAGAATTTATTACATTAACAAAAAAATTAAAAAAAAAAAATAAAAAGTTGAAATAAATTATATATATTCAGTAAATATCAAGTAAATTGTTGGAAGCTAATTGGACAATTTCTATAGAATTTTAATAAAAGTTAACGATAAAATTAATTAATTTTGATGATTGAAGAACTATACTTCTTGTTGGTTTTTAAAGTTAAATAAAATCGTTAAATTTTAAAGCTAGGATTTAAATTTCAGTTTAATTCTGTCAAGGATTTGATTTAACTTGGCACCGCCGCGGCGTAACAAACAACAGTGATGTCAGCCTAGAGATCAGATGAAGAATCACAATTGTCAATAGTTGCTACTATAGGCTCAGTAGGTAATTAGGATGTAGAGTTCTTTCTCGACAAACAAAACTCTCTAGGGCACTCATCCTTCCTGTGCTTCTGTATGCTGCAGAAGCATGGACGGTATCACTGAATGATGAAGCAACACTGGGAGGTGTTTGAGAGAAAAGTTCTTCATAAGAGTTTTAATCCTCTACGAGTTGGCGACGACTAACGCATACGAATAAGCTACGAACTGTACGAGCTTTTTCTCGACATTGATATAATTCAGTGAATTAACAACCAGCGGCTTCGCTGGCTTGGTCATGAGGTGAGAATGGATGAAGATGCACCTGCGAAAAAGGTATTTGTAGTCACGGTTGCCACTTATGGTACTTTAGTACCAAAATTGGTACTTTTTTTTCCTTTTGGTACTCTGGTACTCATGCTCAAAAAATGGTACATTTTCGGCGACCCAACTTTATTGTGGATATTTTCAATTAATTTTTTTTATAAATGTAACTTGTATTGTTTTATACTTTTTGTACATTTTATATAAATTGTATTTTCTTATAAAAAGACAATAGAAAAATTTTGGACCTTATTTACAGAAATGGTACCTTTTTAAACCAATTTTGGTACAGAAAAAAATTTTCAAGTGGCAACCGTGTTTGTAGTAATAGTTGGAAGAAAAACGTGTAGAGATAGACCGTGTCTCCGGTGGAGAGATCAAGTTGAGAAAGCACTAACCAGATTTGATGTACGAAACTGGAGAAGACGCGCTTGCCGCAAAGGCGCATGAAGAGACATGTTGCGTCAGGACGAAACCCGGTAGCGGGTTGTTATAGCCACATAAGTAAGTAAAATCGTTAAATATAATGGATTATATTTTATTATTATAATAGTTATTGGTAGTTCTAGATATGAAGTTTATAGAGGAATTGGTTACATTCTACAAAAAATCAAGTATCGGATGCAAAATTTATACTCTTGAGACTATAAAAAAATAAGACTAAAAGCATATCTTGATTTATAATTTCATATATCTGTCATTATTCTTCTTACTTTAATTGATATCTATTGCTATGTTTAGACAATTATACTTAACTCAAAAAACATGCAATAACATGAGCCATTGCTTATACAATTCCAAGGTTCGTATGAAAATATGCTAAAGTGGTTCAATAAATCTAATTGTAATATTAATTATTTATTTTAATATCTTGACACCAATTTTGTTATTAATCTAACTTATATATATGTTATTAGTTTTTTAAGTGCTTTCGAAGAGCACCAGTTAATATATCGATTTATAAACAATCATCACCGGAAAAGATCTTTGTTGACTTTCTCTTAAGACATGTATTAGGAATTTAGGAGCTCTAAATTATGCAAGGTGACTTATATTTTAATATCTTTAAAATTGTTGGAACTTTGGGGTGACGAGAAATTTGGTTATATTGTGTTATAAAAAAGCCTGCCATTAATCTTAATTTATTTGATTGTAATCTTTGTGACCATAGTGACTTGGAATCACTAATATGTTTGTTGTGCCTTCTGTGAAACTGACTTATTATTTCGTTGCGAATATGGATTATGTTCCAGAATTAAATTTATTTACAGTCAGTTTCAATTAGTTGTTATTCACTTATTACCGAGTCAAGAATACAGCTAGGCATTTAATTAGTAAGTATATGATCCTATCTTCGTTTTGACAACAGTATCTTAATGAATCTGATATAGAGATGCCTAATTCTTGCTGATTGATTTTTTGCTGTACTCGATAGTGAGTCGGTATTGGATTTTCAAATCAAATATCTAAGGAGATAATGCATGTGCACCATTTATTTTAATTTTATAGTCTTCAATATTTCGATTTTTCCATAGTTTTATAGGCAAAAGTGCCTGTAGCGAAGGTGCACAAATTTGATGTCTAAGTTAGTAAATTTGTCTTTATAATTAGGTCTAAGAATTCAAAGGATATAAAATCTGCAAAGTAGTATAGAATAATTCCTTACTTAGGATACACATTCATTGTCAGATATTCTCATTGAGGATTTGCAATATCATGGGTTCATGCTTTGGACTTACGGTAAACGAAGCAAGTCATTATAATAAGAACTCTAACATTGTTTTTAATTCAAACTCTGATGAACTCTGATTAATTACTGATTTTTTTTACTAAATGTGTTGCTGCACTGGTTCCTGATGTATACAGAATCAGTGAAACGCAGATGTTTAACATCTAACAATATTATTTTTCTGCGTCCAGTGATAGTTGGGAAATAAATTTTCTACCTTCATTTGAAGTGAAGTTCTTAGAAAAATAATATGCAAAAATAATTTAAAAATAATGAAATAAAAATAGTTCCTCAACTGCTTAGTTTGATTTAAAACACAAAAAAAATTAAATTTCAATATCTTATCTCCAGGTATGTGGTAACAAAAATCGTTACGTGTACCAAAGAGGAAGCACCGTCGCTACTAAATTAATTAGAAATTAATAAACATCCGGGTGTCATTAAGCAGAATGATATTAATATTATCTTTGTATTCTTTTTTTTTTTCTATGTAGTTTAGCTTGGGATACTTTCTCGATGAATAAACACAATATATTTAATATTTCAAATATTTCATAAATTAAAAATCGATCATATAGGATGTGTTTCGTTTCAGATGAATTATTGGATTTCAGAGTATTTGTTTTTAATTTTTATTAATAAAAAGTTCTTATATAAATTTCCAATATCACAGCAAGATAAATGAGAGTTTTCACTTTTTAATTACATCAAAAAACCATAATATTAAGCTATAATTAAATTAGAAATTGAAATAGATGCACGTAAGCAATTAATTTAATTAAATATTCACCTAAGTAAGTTAATTAGGACACCATAAAAGTTATACGTGCAGTGATTTATAAAATAATTTTATTTGAATTTTATTCATTTAGTTTTAGTTATAAAAGAAAGCTGATTTCGTTGAAATTAATTAATTATTACTGCTAAAATAATATATAAAAAACACATATCCTTATTTTAAAAAAAATTTCTTTATTAAGCATTGAGTTGTAATTGATTGTTAGGAAAAATCTTATGACATTAAAGCTAAACTATTCGTTAGTTCTACCTTTAACTAGTTGAAGAGTAAATAACATAGGTTGCCAATAGGTCAATATTATGTTGAAGCTATTTGAGCCTTTGAGTACTTTTACTCTTTCTTAACACGAGGTATTTTTAAAATCCCTCTTTACGCCTTGACTGGATTATTGTTTATCACTTCATCAGTAGTTTCACCGATAGTCTACGTTCATGGCCGTATAAGGGAATATAAAGGAATAATTCTTCTAAAGACGTTATATAGTTTCCAAAATATTTTTAATAAAAAAAAATAAATGTTAATATTAGAGTAATAAAAATAGTGCTTTTATGTGATTGAAATAAATAACTTTTAAAGTCATTTAAAGAAGTTGCTATCCAATACCAACAAATTCTTTTTTTTTCTTAAAGGTGATTCTTTAAATTTTTTATTTATTTTTCTTAAAGGTGATTTTTAAGAAAATTTAGTAACAAAAAAAAATACTATAAATATAAATGAAATAAATATAAAATTTTATATAAATATAAAAATTTTTTCTTTAATCGCGGGTTAGAATTTAAGTTTTTATTTTACGAACACGATTGAATTTACCTCCCATCGCTTTACAGTTCAACCAAACTCTTCTATATTTTCGATTTGAAGTTTGAGTGGATTACTTAATTATTTACTTATTTCTTTAATTATTTAATTTTAAATTAACACAAAAGAATCATTTTGATTTCAGATAATTCCAGTAACGTTCTTGGAAAACCACTCGAGAATCTGTTACAATCGTACAATGCATAATACCACAGTACGATCTACTTTCCAAATTTTAATTAAAATAATTTTCGAAAAAAATAATTTTTCATTTTTTCATATATTTCACAAAACTAAAAAATAAAATAAATAATTTACAATAAATAGTAAAACTAAGAATATAAGCAGCTTAAGTAGAAAATATCATTTTATAAATAAAATGCGGTATTTTTGTTTGCTTCATTTCTTTGGAATATCCTTTGAGTTGTAACTGAAGTTTCCGGTTCCGTAGTATATTTGCCTGATGGCACAGAGAAGTAAAATAAAAAATATTTTTTTTTTATTTTAAACTATTAACATATAATTTAGGTCCTCTTAAAGTGTTTCTGTGCAATAATATTGAAAATAACTAGCGAACTGGAAATGTTACGCCGTTCCGCTCGGAATGTGCTTCACGTGCTTAGCATATTTTTAGGGACTTAAGGTTCGTTGACTATTGTACTAAACTTAGGAAACGTAGGAAATGTAGGAAATGGTTTAGGCATAGGCATTGTAGGCTAAATTTTGTGCATCTTCAATTGGTTGGTATGCTTCGATGACAGAACTGACTGAACGTCCATCCCAAGGTCCGTGAGCGGTAATATGGGCGGAATGGTGTTCGGCGGCAAGCTAGGAAATAACAGGAAATAATAAAAGACAAATAAAAATTGTGTAAAAATTAAATAAAAAATAAAAAAAAAATTGAAGTAAGGAAAACAAGCTGTAATTTGTATACAAAAAACACCAAATAAGTAATTTCTATATTGTTCGAGCGTGTTAAATTGTCAAGAATTTCATAGAATTCAGCTAATAGGGTTGATCAGTTGGTGGAAGGGCCAACCAGCACCTTTGAACTTTATTAAAATACCTATGCAAAAAAAGGATATATTGAGAAATATTGAATATTTCCGAAATATTTCCTTTTAGTTATAATATTTTTCTACATAATTATGGCTTTATTATTTTGTGACAAATAAATTTATAGGAAATTTAAAAGGTTGTGGGCAATAAAAATAATTATTCAAAAATGTTTTTTTCCTTCTATTTCGTAACCATATTATAACCCAAATTAAGTACGGATAAAGGAATTTGACAAAAAATTAGAACAGAAAATATGTTAATTATTATGAAGGGTTGGTTTTTTTTTCGTAGTTTGGATTTTGTCTTTATGCTTTGGATTTTAATTAAGGGATTGAAAAACTTACCCACAAGGAAAATTCTTTTAGCATTTTTAGTTTTGGTTTTCTAAATTTTTTTGTTTTTACATTATTTTGTTCTTTATTTTATAAGCATTTTTAAGTAAATTCTTTTGTATTCCAATTTATTTAACAGCCCACGACAGCCTAAAATTATACAAAAAAAATAATTAGCTTACCTTCTTGCACAATTGGAAAATGGCCAAACCAACCGATACTATGAATGAGAAGAAGCCTAAGGCTAACGCATTGAAAGCCTTAATTTTCAATATGCCAATTGCCATTGGAATCACAGTCATTGCCTTCAATAAAATCAGAACCATAATTGGTGTAATCATTTTACGTAGACGATGCTTTTTGCCTGAAAGTATACAATAAAAAAATATTTTCATGTAACTTTTAAGTATTCCACTGGCATATGGTTTATAACATGCAAAACACACCCTTCTTGAAGATGTTTCCCTTCTTACCCTTGCCTTCAACAACGTCATTATTGGCAAATTTAACATTCAGGCTTAACTCATCATTGTCCAAACTGCGTGAGGAGACTGTGACCTTAGCGTCAGCAATAGGCAAGTCCATGGTTACATCGTGACCTTGTATATAATTTTCAATGGCATCGAAAAAGTTATCACTGCTGGAACGAGCCTTGCTTTCAGTGGAGGCCTTGAAACCATTGCTTTTTACCTCAACATCCGAAAACTGAAATGGAATGAAATGAAGTGAGTAAATTTTTTCACTAGAATTTAATTTACTTTTTTATTTTTTTAAAAATTATAAATTGCTTTAAGGTAAATAAAAGTTGTAATTTTAATAACAAGAAAAATTTTATGGAAATTATGAAAGTGTAGATTTCAAAGAAAATGTGAAGGTATTTTAAAATGTCCTGAAAATTATGTTAATGAAGTCAAATGAGTGCAAAAACTGCAGGTGTGCGAAAATGATATATATATAAGTGCGGGTATATCTTTATATCTATGTAAATTTAGATATAGAGTGAGTTTTTCTCTTATTGGAGAACAAGCAAATGCAAAGTGTTGACAGGTAGTCTAGAGATTAATTTTTCTAATTAAAAGTGACTTTCATTTCTAAAGTAGAAAATATAGTTACTACACCTTTAAAGTCTCTTGAAGCTGTTAAGCTGATAAGTTAAAGGATAAAAACAAAATTTTCTGCTTTTTGCTAAGAAATAATTTTTGGCATTACTTTAAAAACATGTCCTGAGTTAAATTAAAGAACTTTAAACAAAAATTAAGAAGAATTGTTGTGGAAGAAATCTATTAAATACTTTCATGCAATTTAATTTGTTATTGGTTAAACATGCTAGAGCTTTATTTTCTTAAAGATTTTGATCAACTATTGAAGCTCCCAGTAAAGAGCATCTTAAGTTTTGTTAAAGGATTTAAAATCAGTTTTAATGATTTTAAATTCTTCGTGGTTTATACGATGCAAAAGGCTATCAGCTTGAAGTAGTTAACTAGGATCACTTAGCAAGATTAAAGAAATGTAACGTTATATGAAGGCTAACTTTAAAAAAAAAATTAGAAATATATCGAAGTAATTCAATGTATCAAATAAAATAAACAGAAACTTCAAACATTTATTAACTTATTTAGAAAAATTGAAAAAAAAAAATTAGTTTGTATATGTATTTCAAACCTATAGTGGAAGTAATTATATTTGATATTAATAGGGAAGCTGAAAGTATGGTTTATTTTGTGGTTCAAAATAAAATTCAATGATTTTAGCGTTATTTCAAAAATAAAAATAGAATGAAAAAAGAAATTTTCACATTAGCAATATATATCTAAATTTATATATTCAATATATTTTTTTAACAGATATAATATTGAATTTAATATTATTAAATATTATCAAATGTGGCACATTTTCACAAAATAATTATTATTAGAAATTTATTGAATTAGTGCTTGAGGTACTAAACATTCTCAGATTATTTATCAATATAAAATCGATAGTAATGTTTATCAGAGATAATATCACAATATAATAATAATAATATATATATACATATATATAATCTAATGCAATAGATATATAATTTAAAAATATAGTTAAAAATATTTATAAGGGATTATATGAAATTCTATATTATACTGTTAAAGATAAATTATTAATATATGTTAGTAATTGTTATGAGTTGATGATCTGTCCTTTGAAAGTAATAAATTTTTAATTTATTATTTTATTTTTAAATAAAATCTAAATTACATTTTTAAAAAAAATTTTTTAACTAACTTATTATTATTTTCAATAAATTAAAATACTTTAGAATATTTTGGTGTCGTGATAATTAATATTTTAATTTTAATAATACAAATAATATTAATACTAATATTAAAATTTAAAATTAACATGTTTTTTAATTTTTATTGTTATAAATATTTATTTGAAGAAGTGAAGTTTATTGTTTTATTTTTTTGCTATGCAAAAAATTAAGCTTATCCATACACATATGTATAACAATAAAAAAAAAAATCAATGATAAATTTCAAATCTTTAAATAAATTTAAAAAACTTAATTCCAAACAAAAACAAAAGTGCTTATCATTCACAGAAAAAATATTTTTTACTTTTTTAAATCCGTAGGGATTTGCACCGTATAAAAATAAATCTTAAAAAATCTTATAAAATCTCTGAACTCACCTTGAATGTATCTTTGTTGATAACGGTATCCAGAAATCTCATTGCTCGAACCTTAATGCACGCCATTGAATCTTCACCGCTTTCGCATTTTAAAGTTTCCTCATTAATCATGCTCTGCATATTGGTTGCCTTGACGGCGGTGGCAGCATTGCCAACTGCTGCAAAACCCAAAATTGCTACGAGGACGCAATACTTCGTTGCTGCCATCTTGTACTTTTATCTTATCCGCCTTGTAAATAAAGTTTCACGTAAAATCTTTACGAAAAAAAATAACGATTTCCTGTGCTGCTTTGCCACTCGCTTGACCACTCGCCTCAGTGAAGAAACAGTTGCGAATAATAATGGTTTTTCTATTGTCCACGATTTTTATACTGCATAGTAGAGTTTTAAGTTCAACTACGCACTTCCCACAAAACAGTGGCCAAGAGCAGCCACAACTCAAAGAAACACAGCAAGAGAAAAATGGCGGAAGAAGACATAAAAGCAAAACCAAAAGACAGACGTAACCCTGTACAAAGCCTGACAAAACAAAAACAAACGTTGAGCTGCTCTCAATTGCATGGCAGCAGTCTGTCGTATGTCGTCCGTTGTCTGTTGTCTGCCTTTGATGTGTTTAATGAGTGCAATTATGTGTTGGTTGTATTGTTTCTGATTTCTGTGTTTTTTTGATTTTTTGTGTTTTTTGTTTTTCTATGTTGCTTGGCAGAGTGTCAGCAACTTTGTTTGTAGTGCGCGGTGCTGCTGTATGTGTTTATGCTTTATGCTTATTAACCAGCAAAGGCACATATACATGGCGTATGCGTAACATTATTTTTTGATTTTATTTGAATTTCATTCATGGCTTGCCTTTGCTTGGGATTTCGTGCACGTTTGTTTAGATGCGTACAAATTTATTTTGGCAGCGATTGATTTTCAACGTTGAACGTTCAGCAATCAGTAGTCAGCAGTCAACAGTCGATATCAATGATTAGCATGTGAAGTTGCATTTGAAATAAAAAATTTGCAGTTGTCAGTCAAAATTCTCGGCATAAATTGTTTGAATATTTGCTAGGAGAGTTTTTGCTGTGATAACAATTTGCTGATAATATTTTTTTTTCTATTTGTTATTGACAGTTTGCTACTTCATACAAAACATTTTTTGTTTTCTCTTAATTAGGATGCTTAATGAGTTCATTAAAATATTTAAGTAAAACTGAAGGGTCTGGCAAGTAATGTTTTATTTGAAGTCCATAGCTACAATTCATTGCCAAGTTTTAATTAGAAAAACAAAAAATGCAAAAAAAATAAAAATAAAAAAATAAAATACTAAAATGAATATATTATAAATATACAAAACAGATATTTTTATTTTAATAGAAGTATCTCATTAAAAAAATCAAGTTTTTTATGATATAATCATTCTTTATATCTTCAAATTTTTAAATAGATTTTTTAAGTAAAATTGTATACTTTTTATAAAGTCATAAATGGACATTTTTTTTTGCTTTATACTATACATCATAGAAGAAACTTGCTTCATATGGAATTTCTGTCACCAGAACAAATTTAGAGCTCTTCTCCAGAGTTAGTTCTGGATTTTGTTCACAAAGCTTTAAGGGGCTTTGTGTAATCAAAATTGAAATTGGTACAATAGGAGGACTCTTCTGGCCCCAGTACCGGCTGTTGGGCGATTACACATTTTAAACTTTTAATAATAATAATAATACATCACTTTTATGACACAAATATATATGTATAAATATATATATTTGTATATAATATATATCTTTATATGTATAAAGAAGTTTTTTCGAAAAATAATGAACTACAACAACAAAAAATCATTTTATATTATTTTAATTAATTGAATTTTTGGCTGACCATTTTGACTAACAGTTGAGCATATATACATTATATATTAAAATATATCAAATTGTTTAAATAGTAAATATATGTAAGAAAAATTATATAGGGATATTAATTATAATATAAAGCATATTCCAAAAAGTAATAAAAAATAATTATGTATCAATAGTTGATGATATATTCTGTAACATTAATTGGACCACAACTTCTGCATGATAAATTACATAAATATAAAGGGCACCTGTATTCTCATAGATAATTGTATTATAATTAAACTCAGTTTAAAGATGATAGATGAAATATAGAGACTTCAACATTTTTTTTAAATATGTAAGTCGAAGCCATCAAAAGTTAACATGACCCACATGACCCACATGACCCACTCAAAACTCGTCTTTCCAGTTATTTCAATCTACGTACTAGTGACCGATATGTTTTTTAATAATTCACGGCTGACGAGATAGGTTGGATA